TGGGAAATTTGATAAAATCTTTAGTGACCAATGTGCTGTCAAACAAGTGCTTTCAGTCCACTCGATACGAGTGATCTACACACTATGATTTTTACTCAAAATGCAGTTGGATGTTTGTCCCATGTTTTGTAGTCTCACAACCATTCGTCGTGGTTGGTGAGGGAGCGCGTTGTGAGGCTCTACAGAGCGACTACATAAGACGACCAATAACTAGGTTCATCAGAAAAGCGAACTTGTTACCTGTGTTGTGGTAGAGTAACGTCAAGAATACTCCTGACCTTTTATACTACGAAGTATCACGCTGGGTCGAAATACTTCCTACATATTTGCATTGGTGAAAAGTTACCTTGTAGCTAGAGCTTCAGGAAGTGCGCTTTCGCCAATCGGTTACTTAAGCTAATCGAGTAGTTGACTGAGATGGTGGTGGAGATTAACTTTTTATCAACCGTCTTCCATCGCATAGTTCGCGTAGGTATTGCCACCTGCACGCGTATACGGAGAAAATGGAAGCCAGTGGAAGACCTTGTGATTTGTCAGTCGAACACTGCAATGAAAGCACCTGACATAGTTAGCCATGAGGAAATGAGTCCCCAATGCATGTGAGTAGAACTTACTTTCTTTCCCAACTAGGTTGTACCAGCTCATGCATCTTTCCAGAGGGCACGCACACATGTGATGTTGTACGGCTTGGTAAGCCTTCACGAGAGTTACATGCTTATTCCCACCTATTGGTGACCGCACACCCCATCACCCTAAGCAACGACCAACCGTCTCCTGAAGCCAGTAGTATCGTGGATGCGGATCTTCAACAGGTTGGTAAGTTGTCAACATTCAGCTCAAACGCAGGCACACTTGAGCTATCAAACAACTAAGACAGAATTAAAGGGGAAATAAACGCTCAAAATGAGCACGGAATATGCAGCAGAATAACAGAACTGAGCATATCAAATGAAGTTGAATGGGTTTTATTTAGGTAAGGAAAAGTTAGTATAAGTGAAGGTCGGTGTAGCACGACAGCGATGACGCAGCATGATGTGTGCACTCCATCCACTCCAGCAACGACCAGCTGTCTCCCGAAGGAGGTGTAATCGAGGCGCAGTTAGGCACCTAGTCAACATTCACATCAAGCGAAATTACACCTGGGATATCAAGCAACAGACAATCACTTGAAATGACGATCACAAATAACATAAATAAAATAAAGCATATGGGTATGCCGACAACACTTCACTAAATTAGGATATGAAATAAATGTGTTATCAATATACCCGCGATAAATTCAAGATGACAAAATGAGCTCAAAAACATATGTATAACAAATGCGAATACAATTAACGCAATTAACCAATTTTCGTTTAAGCGGCGTGTGTATGTAAATAAATGCTTATTCAGATGGACACAAAAGTGAGGTCACATAATAGATATTAACAAATCATAGCAAACCAATTATCTGAAATAAAGAAACGCAGCACGCAAGCATGCGGTCAGTAAATCCAATGCAGCTCACCCATCACTGCTGCGCCGGTTCTGGTACGTTCTCTGCATGAGCCGTCGTCTTTTCGATGCTGGTTCCGAGTGATTTCGTTCGTGGCTAACTAGGCTGGCCTGACTCGGGCACTCAAGACTACATGGGCTACAGCTCCATGCGCTCGACTTCGATGGAGTACACCCATCGGCGACTGTGGTTTCCGCACCTGCCGTTTCTTCTCCACATGCACCAGAGTTCTCCTGCACCTCGGATACTACATTCGTGATCAGATCACGTCATACACGCCGATCAAGCGCCGTCCATTTCCAACACCCGAATGTGACAGGCGCAACAATATATATATAAATAAATATATGTATATATAATACGGACACGCAAATACAATCTGGGGATGGCTCGACCAGGTGCGAGCTCTGGCCCGCAGCTCGGGCGTCTGGTTCTAGCAAGAACATCCACCCAAAGACGAGTACGCTGGTATTCTTCGCACACGCTCAAAAGGCTTTAATGGTAAACACTTGGTTTAGGCCTCTCCTTATTGGAACGAAATACATACGCCTCGTTCTGCTTAACCAATTTTGTTTAATACGAGTACGGAAATTCACGAAACTAGGTGCGTCTTCCAAAGGATGCCAGAGCAGCACTTATCTATCATATGCCACCATATCTATTATCTTTTGAACAGTCTCTGGGCAAAAGTCATACAGAACCCCGAAAACGTTGTACAGTGGATCCCCTCAATGTGTCTGTAACGTCAATAGAGGTCACTCCCACTGAGCTGCTAAAAAAAGCATACGCCAAAAATATAAGCTCCTTGTGACGGAACAGTACTATATTTTCAATGTCACCCACCCTATACTAAAGCTTCAGCAATGACACCAGCCAAGTGAGCGGAGAAGGTGGAAATTACGCCCAGGTCGTTCGAATTATGCCCTCCGTGTTTACTCTCCCCAAAGTCAACTAATCAGGAATCTTCGTCTAGCCTTGAGTAGAGCCTTCTTGATGTAACTAACAGAGTTCGTCACAGCAGGTTCCTAATCAAAATAGCCCTCTATATGTCCGTAAAAGCACCAGACTGTTGTTTTGACCTATTGGGCCTCGTCAGTAGTATACATCCGTCGAATCCTTCAGGATTCGAAACTATGACCACCAGTAGCACTGCTGCGTCGAGTATTTACCGTAACCAGAAATTGCTTTTCCTGTGTGATTGCTTCAGAATTCTACCTCATTACACATTACTTTGCGATATAGCGAAGAACATACGCTGATGTATCATCAGCGCTGATGTATCGCTTTGAAATGAACGTTTTACAGATGAATTACATTGTTTCTCTGTCTTCTGATTTGCACCGAAGACCGCATAGCATACTAAGTGCAATAGATGCGATCAAATGAATTAAATATTACCCATACTTCTTGGGTGGAGAACTCCTTTGTGGTTAGAAGGGGGTGGCTAAGCAACCACATTGAATTTGAAGGTGCCAAGTACCACTCGGTGTAGCGGTATTGTGAGACGAAGTAAAATACTCATTCTGATTACTCCTCCAACCTCGTCTACGAGAAAAATCACTTTCCTAAGCGAAAAACACGAGTTCTCCTTGCTTAATCAAAATACCATTCTAGCCCTGAGTTCGACCTAGGCGAATAAGTATTCCACTAAATCAATGTATACTTGATAACAATCTAAGTTCTAGAATTCGTGTGATGTGGCTTAAAATAGTTTGATACTATGTTAACTACCAGTACACTTTTGTTTAAACCTCTGTTTCAGTTGTCGAACAGTTCGCACATAGGAAGAAGAGCGCTCCGGTACCAAGTGAGTGAGATTCTCAGTTTAACGAATGATGTAACGTCGTTGAAAGCAAACGTTGTGTCTTCACAGAAAGTGGATTCTTGATGCAAAAGTTAAGCTTGTGAGCAGTTAAATGTCTGGTAAACGAACATAGTCTGTAGCGTGTTGAACGGGCCCTTGGCTCCTCATAGCATAGTTTGATTGGACCCAGCAAAGCGTAGCAAGGGTCCACTATTTCAGCGATGATACTGTTAACAGTACGTCAAAGTCCTCAGTTATTGTAAGCTCACATAAACAAAATTTTATCTAAGCTGCTGGTAGACATTAGTTGTATCGCCAATTCATTTATAGGCGGGCGCATGACATTGGTCACACACTAGGAACGCATTTCTTAAACCAGTTCTTCAACGATTGCAAGTCATTTAAAGTAATCTCGGTAAAACATGAGTAATCGGTTGTTAGCAGACTGGTGGAAAATTTGCGCAGCCGTCTTAGTGTGGTTTACACACTCAAGACGGAGGCGGCTTGCTTGAAAGTATGTGGGATTGTTATACTAGTTACGGATCCATAGTAGCGGGTTAACTCAGATACTTGGACGATAATCAACCGCAAAACAAAATAACTTATGCACTCGTTGAAAGGATCATACTGAATCACCCGTTGTGTGTGTTTGTGAAAGAATTGCAACACGCAATCTGAATCAGGACCATAAGACAGTTTAAAGTGAACCTCGGTCATTTGATCATTGGGACCGCGTCTGAGGCAGATAAGTATTAAGTGTAGCTCTCTCGCAATTAAACACGAAATTGGTCGTGGTGTGTACTTACGGGTAAGTGATATTAACTATCTATCAATCAGTGCACCGGTTACACGCAAACCGAAATTCGGCTCCCTGCTTGGAGTCGGAAAGGCGATGAACATGTTTGGCTGAATACACTTGTTGACATGGCTAGGAACCGACCTCAGTGGTGTTTGTGCTGTGAATTTCTCTGTCTCTTTCTCACCCTCCAACCACGATCTCACTATTTAGGCACAATATGACTAATTTTTGCTGCACAATAGCTGGCTAGTAGCTCTCTGGAACGATACCCATCCGTTACTGTTGGCTCAGATGGCATGCCTGTTGCATATTGCATGTTTTTAATTTTCTTTTCTTATGCATTGCGGCACAAAACTGTGGTATTTTCCACTTCTAGCTGACGTGCTTAATGAATGCTGAATGAGGAATTTGCACTGTATAACTACATAGTACACAAAATTTCAAAACGATTATCAAAAATCTGGTATTTCGCTGGCGTGGTTGATCGCACTGCGACACGACAACGAATACTCATGTCTGGGGCAAATAATGTCAGCTTTGTTCTAATCACGCTCTTTCAAATGAAGTTGTGCACACGAAAGTTTGCACTAACCTCTAGCAACATTTTAATCAGGATAAACGAAAATTCACTCACTTCCCTCTCTTTGTACTCGCAGATGTTTCTCACTAGGAAGATAAGCCAACAAAACATCTGACTGACCGGTAAATATGTGATCAAAAATTCGTTGTTCTGCTGTGAAACACCCAGGATAGGCGTCTAATTACCTCAGCATTGGACAATTCTGCTCTCATTAGTCATTTCGATCACGACAAAATCAGGCTGCTTCATTACTGCCCGGTCACCTGATGACCACGAATTAAATGAGTAGCATTCCCTAGTGGATCTAGCCCGGACTAATTTGTCATCCAGGGCCACAGGCATTCTCGTTGGAGTGGCCATTCCCATTGCACGGTAATTCGATTTCCCTTACAAAATGAGGCGCAAATTGAGCTGAGCGTGAAGTGTCGCCACGTCCCTCTGAGTTGCTGACCGGTAGCAAAAGGTCGTAGGAGATGGGCATAATGACGGATGTTGAAATTTGCAGAAGATTGGGAATGGGAATAGTCTGCCTAGAAATCAGACCCAAATAAGCCACGGTATCATTTTCTTCTAAAAATAAAGCCCAAGATGAATTCGAAAGTTGAAAATAAAAGTTTGCTATATTTGGTGAGTAAAGTTCCATTGTGGACAGTGATGTAGTATAGAATTGGTGTGGCATATATAACAACTAAGGATGCTAAAAGAGACAGCAGATGGGTAATGGACGGTAATCACAACGGTCGAGGTAAACGTCCAGGCTTGCCATAAATGTCACACCAATTAGGCATTAGTTCATTTGGCCTGACGAAGTGATTGGCGTTGAAAGCAAAACGGCACATGCCAACTAAACCAGCCTATTGTTGACAAGTCCTTCTGAAATAACGTATGCTGATTTAATGCCACGTGTATGTTGAGACTGTTGGAAAATAAAGTTATGTTAGGATCACAGTTTCACCAAAGCAACCCGGATTGCGTTCATGCATGGCCAAGCGAGAACTCCAGCTTAACACGACTAAGTGCAACATGGTTCATTTGAACCATCAGCTGGTGAGCTTGAACATACTCAAGGAATGCACTCTGCAGAACATCTCCTAGGAGCGTGACTTGGAATACGATCATGACTGCTCAAAACAATCCGAGAAAACCTGTTACTCACAACGTTTGGTTGATTTGACGCTTCTATCCACTCACAACTGCTTAACGCCCACTTGGGACCGCAAGTGAAATACGCTATGCAGGGGTAGTAAAAATAGCAGAAGTAATATCACGCTGCACTCAAGACTCCTCAACGAAAAGCATCCAATAACGTGAGGAGCCCCTTCCATCTGCCACACCAGCTTTGACTGAAGTCGCTAGGAATGTATAAGAGTCGAAATCGGCGATTGAGTTGGACCACATAATGATTCAGCAGGTACTGAAGAACCCAAATCACATCTGATGTCCGCTGCTGGAACTGAACCTCAACACCAACCTGAGAGGGCATCAGCTGAAGCTGACAATGGGGTAGAGCATATAAAAATTTTTTTTGCGATTTCGTCTCCATTCTATTCTGTAAGCCGTGGCACGCTCTCCCAGCTTAGGTTGCTTCTATCTTCAGTCTAACAATATTTTTAAAAAGAGAATTGAGGAAACGTTGTGCCATTCACACTTCACATTGCAACTTGCTTAGCCAGACTACAGGACGCAACCAAACCCTGTGTGCCTAAATTCCAACCGGATGGATTTATGCATATTATCTTGTCAATATTTTCAGTGTTTTCACCTGTGCGGACTCAATTTTATTGACATCCCTCGTTAATTTCCCTCTTTTAATCTCCACCATTCTGCGGGACTTGCTAAGCATTCGCTTTTTTGTCAGTTATATAGCATCGTTCCAGTTAACTGTTTTGTGTTCTTTGTACGCACAAAATCGTGCAACAGTTGGTACTAATTGCTACAGCTTTGCTAATTGTGTTTGTTAATCTCCTGAAGCCGATACATTTAGTGCGTGAACAAGCAATGTGTACTTGGTTGATGTCACCTTGCCCTTCAGCGACGGTTACTCAAGTGGAAGACTTGCCGACATGAAATGCAACGTCGACTGCTATAGAGAAATGCATGGAGCAGTTGTATGACTGAAGAGCGAGAAGCTTTGAAAATGATTCCTAAGCTCGATGTGGTTTCCGTGTTTACTGCAACTGACCGTGCTGGGTGCGTTTTGAACTAATTGACTTTCCAGTGACCTGTAGCTAACCCAAACTCTAATGACATCATGTTAATTGGAAGGTCACTATGGGTCAGACTGCTCGAAGTCCAACAGTCTACGTCACAAGATGGTGACAGACAGAATACCTGTCGACGGACTGTGATATCCCCTACCTAGATTCGTAGTTGTTTCGGTTAGCTGAACTCGGCAAGGCCGTCGATTTCTACATCTGGTCGCGAGGAGAAATTCGCGTAAGCTAAGACCGTGGGGAACGATGCCTGTCCCCAGCTCCTTTCGTTTGGTTGGTGGTAGTTTGCGTTTAATTTCCATGAAAGGTATTTGTACGGAGTACACTCTGAGACAGTTTTAGCAGGGACTTCCAGTGCTGCTACGTGTATAATACGCGGAGGTGGCATCCGTTAGACTAAACGGCGGTTGTTTGGTCAACCTAGTGAATCACTTCCATTCTACTGAATATCAGCTCCAAAACTAAATGTGCTTTAGACTTTATACTGATTGTCGCACTACGACAGTATATACCGATTCTCGACCAGATCAATGTGCAGTGAAAATGAGTATTATCCGAACTGCTGTCAATACGAGGAGTACAATAGCTGGATTATTTTCTATTGTCGAAGGAAATGCCGAATGCACTGGAGTTTCGGGCGCAACACCCATTCAACTTACAACTTGCTAGAACTATTGAGGATTTGCATATACACGATCGGCAACAAAAGCCAGCGCTGCTGATTAGTTCGACATGATTACGAACAACGGTGCATGCTTTTTGAGCTGTCATATTGGACGGTAGACGCACAGGGATTTATGAAAACACCCGAAGTTTGGTGTGATACCTATGGCAAGTTTCCAGTTCATATATTAATGTGCCCTACATGTGACACGGCAAAATGTGCTCCACCACATGATTTATCAACCATCTGACTCCCAATAATTTATCGGCGCTACCAAATTTAGCGCCGCGCACAGTCCAAGACGGTGCTTATCAAAAGACAAAAACAGTATATGTAGTAGACGAACAAGTAGTCTAGTTCTCCTAAATCTCCGTAGGTTTCCAGTGATGAATGCCAGCCAGCCAAAAATTGTAGTCTACCAACAACTTCTACTCTGGGCATATGCCGACAGCTGTCAAGCTGCCTTGCACATAACGCCTTTTGACAAGCGCAGTCCAATTTCGTCCAGATTCTCATGCGAATTGCAGTAATCCATCGTTGTTAACGCTGTCGCGGTTCGTCTCGTGAAAAGACGGGCGAAGAACACGCAGTGCAAGTGCTTCGCCACTGGGGCAACCTGGATTATTTGCAATCGTTTGTGATAGATGTGAACTTTCATTCCCCTTACTCCAATTAGTTTGGGTAGCCGGCTGATCACTCTCACCAGCGTGCCTCGATGATGAAAACTCACCTACATTAGAACCACTCAAGTGCGGTCAAATTGCATTACCCATGAGATGGTTACTTGTCGACTGACCCACGGTGGAGTTGCCACTTGGAGAACTGAGCCATTTTCGGCACCACTTGCTGTCACCAGCGAATTGTTCAGAGAATGGTAAATAACAGACAGCACCACCGGTAAATGTTCATGGAGTTTTGCTATAAACTGCACACTCTTCATAAAACGGTCGAGAGAAAAGCCCTGCCTGTTATGCATAACAACACAGACAGCGGTCAAATGGAATTACAAGAGCCTGGAAACCCATACTTCACCTAGGAATTAATACAAATGCAGGCACTTGTATTTTTTGAGCAAAGTTTCGCTTTTGACCCAAAGCTTCGTCTGACATGATGGAGCTTTAGTGCCCAAGGCAAAACACTGTCCAACTAATACACCAATCAAATGCTCCCAAACCTCTCTAACTCATGACTTACCTAGTGGTCCCAAGTTCCACAACTGAAACGTGATGTATAAAAGAAATATCAGCAGTAACGTCGGTGCACCATACCGACGGTTCACTGCCACGCGAACATCAAATTTGCCCGAGCGCTAGGTATACTTTGATATCACGCACTTGTGTCAATCGGTAGGCTCTATGTGGCTGCACAACCTCGTGAAATAGTCCAATAGTTATATAGTGTATGATGGGATAAAAAGCATAACTTTACAAGACGCACAGGATGGACATGCCAAAGAAAAGTAAAATCAAAGTATTCCTACATGGAACGTGAAATATCAGTGGGTAAGCCACTACACTTTATCAAACTGTCGTGTAGTGTTAATCACTAAGATGATAGTCTAGTAATCCTTCGGATGTGGTGAAATCTGGTGCGTTCACCACATATATTGGTAGTGCACTTCAGTGTGAACAAATTCTAACTGAATGATAATACTGTCTAAAATTCAATCGGGAGTGTTGCGTCATAAGTTTCAGGTGGTTGCATCGGCATGGTCTATAAGGAGTCATGGTCAACAGTTGTGTACGTGGGTGCTCGCGCTCAGTTATTTTACGGTATGTGGGACGATCTCCGCGAAGCCATCGGCATCCTGCGGAGGAGCCACTGAGCAGAGGAAGGCGCAGTTCGGAACTGAGACCGGATATTCCACATGTTACCTTTGTGGCTCATCTTTGGAGTTATTCCAATAGACGAATGTCTCGTTTTAACCATGAACACCAGGCCTGAACGGCACGTTCAACATGAGGACGAATATACGAGTTAATCAGCAATGGTATTAGCCGTCGCTCAAAGGTGCCGAGAGCTCGCCTCAAAAACCTCAAGGTAAAATTCGCCACACATGCTGCTTTCGAAAATTGGAGCGAATTGCCAGGACTTTCTTGCACGATGATACCTAAGTCGTGTTCCCTAGTCACGTGTTGCTTGGCGAGTTACCCCAAAATATACGTGTTGATGAAGCTGTTGCGCACTCTCAGCAGGTGGCACTTTGCAGGTCTTAGTGGTAGCTGGTTCCTTTCTGCCCATTTGTTAATCCTAACCAGACCTTCCTGAAGATAGACACGGTGGAATGCTGAGCTTGTTGCTCTTCATATTTTAGCATCGTCTGCAAATATTTCCATCGGAGACAAAATGTTTGTTGAAAGGTGATTGATGTAGACTAAAAACAGTAGCGGGCAAAAGACGGATTCTTGCCGTACACCACTGGAGAGTGAAAGAGAGTGCCCCCATTCTCACGCGCCTGAGCCTAAAACCGGTTTAGTAGCCCTCAGAAACTGAACATTTGGTGCACACTTTTCCTAATATGTTCGCACGTGCAGTGTAGTTACTATTACCATGTCTAGAGCAATACAGATGACTAAACCACACCTTACATTCACTTATTTTTACGCATTTTAGATGCAGTCAGAACAGCCCACGCAATGCCACCAGAGTCCAAGAAGTTTGAACCCCACGGTGCATATGGTTGAGTTGCCATGCTTGTTAATCGTACAGTTATTATTTCTCATTTACGACATCAGCAATATGACGCTTTCGGATGCCTGTCCTGAA